GGGGGGGGGATTTAATGTGGAAAACAGGCTTTTGGAAAGGCTGAGCTTGGCCCTGATCCCGCAGCGGCTGCGAGGTCTCCAGGGGATGGTGGTGGCTGCTGGGTGTGAAGTTTGGGCTTGGGTGGCTGGTGTTTCGTTTCAGGCTTCGTTTGAAGGGAGGTGTCCAAAGCTGAGGGTCAACTGCAGGGTCTGCCAGGGCAGCTCCTCAACTCAGGCTTGTCCAGCCCAAATGAAGGGACCACGGTCCCAGTTTTGGGCTGGTCAGATGTCACTGAGGCAAGAGGAGGGAGGCTGGGATTGGGGTGGTGGGGAGATGGTCTGGAGAAGGAGCTGTCCTGCTCTGACCTTGTCTCTGGGAAGGTCTCACCTGTTGGTGGGGGTGGTGTTGGCTCGTGGCACTGAGCTGGGTGGAGCCCCAAAGGTAAATAAGGGACTGGGGAGCTGCTTACCCAAGGTGGAGGTGCCCAGATGTCTGCTGGGCATGGACACCTCCCCTCTCCCTGACCATGACAAGGACATTGCCAGGGCCGAGGTGGCTGAGGACTCAGGGGGCCAGGGGGGCTCAGGGACACAGCCCAGGTCCCCCCTCTGGCGTTGGATAGTTCATAGAATAGACTCACAGTCTGGTTTGGGGTGGCAGAGACCTTAAAGATCATCCAGTTCCAACCCCCCTGCATGGGCAGGGACACCTCCCACCATCCCAGGCTGCTCCAAGCCCCATCCAACCTGCCCTTCAACACTGCCAGGGATGGGGCAGCCACAGCTTCCCTGGGCAACCTGGGCCAGGCTCTCCCCACCCTCACAGCCCAGAATTTCTCCCTCCCATCTCAGCTCCAGCTCCCTCTGCCAGCTGGAAACCCTTCCTCCTGCTCCCATCCCCCCCTGCCCTTGTCCCAAGCCCCTCCCCAGCTTTCCTGGAGCCCCTTCAGGCACTGGAAGCTGCTCTCAGGTCTCCCTGGAGCCTTCTCTTCTAGCCTGGGCTCCTCTCCTAGGTGGGAGATGGGGTCTCAGCACACAGTTCAGCAGTAAGGAAAGGTCTGGCCAAGGACCCGATGGAGTTTGGCAGGGGAGGAGAGCAGGAAAACCCAGAGTGTTTAGTCTAGGAAAGGGAGGCTGGGGTGGCTGCTGCACATTCCTCCTGGAGGAACAGAGAAGGGAGAGGAGCCACCAGGACTGGGGGGGGAGGGTTTAAAGGGAAATGAAGCTCTTGGCTCATGTGCTGTCTGTCAGCTACAGGGCAAGATGAAAGTCCAGCCCCAGCCTGACGCAGGGGGAGCAGGTTTTCCTCCCTGTGTGTCCCAGCAGCTCATTAAAGCCTTTTTTTTTTTCTTTTCCTCCTTTTGGCAAAAGGAGCCTTTTTTTCCAGCTTCTCTCTGGGAAGGGCTGAGGCCCCTTCAAGATCAAAACTCAGCTTCCCAGGTCAAAGTTTGGCTGTAAACTCTGTCCTCGCCAAGGGACCTGTGATCTCCCTCCCAGAAGAGCCCTTAGGGTGACCAGGGGAGCGTGGCCACCCTGAGGGACCTGGCGTGGAGCTGCTCTCCCTGGGAGCAGGGAGTGGAGCCCAGAAATCACCCTACATGGTCAGGCTGCAGCTTTTCAGGAGACCTGAAAAGTTTCATCATGCTGCTGATAACCAGTTCCAGCAGGGGGAAGCTGCCCTGGGGAGGAGTCTGCCACCCCCTTCTGGTTCTTCTGAAGGTTCATCTAAGAGGGAATTTTAAAGTATTTGCTGAACAGGGACTGTTGTGGTTCTGGGGGGTGGTTTCTTGGCTGTAGGAAGGAGGCCTGGGTGCATTGGGAGGGTGAGGAGGGTTGCTCCCTTTCTCCCCAGAAAAGGAGGGGAGCCAGGAGTGATGCCATCATGGGAGTGAGTCAGGCAGCTGGGCCCTGGTTTATGGCAACCAAGAGTGGTGGCTGCCAGGCCTCTGCAACCCCCAGGGCAAAGAGGAACCAGAGACACAACAAGGGGTCTGTACAAATCCACAGCTTCCTCCTGGGAACACAGTCTGGGGCTGGCTGGGTGTGCTCAGAGAAAGGCAGGAGGCCCAAGCACCCCCAGCAGCACCCATGGTACCAGCAGGTTCCCCCCACAGGCAGCAATTGAGACAGGGAGGCCAGAGGCTGTCAGGAATTTAATGGTACTTGGCACTGGGAGCTGTACAACACATTTACAGAGAACCACCTGCTCGTGTCTATGTACACCCACTCCCCCTCTTCCATTGTCACTGGCCCAACACCCAACAGGCAACAACCCCTCCAGCACCCAGTGCAGGTGACACCCCAGGATGGGGGTTTTGGGCTGATGTCCTCACCCCACCAGCATCAGTGACAGGAAGGACCCTGCTGGCTTTGCTCAGAGTTGCCACTGCTTGGTTTCCCCCCCCATTTTGTACTATTTTCCCCCAGCTGGCACCTCCCACACATATCTTTGGGCCTCCAGAACATGGCAGTGTCACCATTATGAGTATATACAACCACTGTCTCCTCCACCCTCACACCCCATCAGCTGCAAATGCTTCCTCTGTCTCTACCTTTCTACCACATGCAATAACCCCTTGGTTGCCTCCAGTCCTGCCTCTCCACACACAAAGGCATTTCATTTCCAAAAGGCAACAGTAACAACAAACTAAAATCTACCTTCAGTCCCTGCTACTCCCCCTCTACCTGCTGCTCCTCTGCCCTCCCCAAACCCTTTACAACATTCCTAAAAACCTTCCTAAAACCCCCTCAGTTGATGCAGTTCTCTTTCCAGGAGTCTGGAGCACACACATGTCTCCGAGCAAGAAGGATCAAGTACTGGAAAAGGAAATGCCAAGTCTGAACAACAACAAAAAGTACAAAAGTAAAAAAAAAGGAAAACAAACAACAAAAACAAAAAACAACCCCCAAAACAAAACTAATAAAAAAAAATTAAATATCTGGCAGGTTACAAGAGTGAAAATGAGGAATGTACAAAGGACACATTAAGATGAAAGATTCCAGTAGGTAAATTGAGAACCTGTTGAACCTGGGGTCTGTTTGGTGGTTGGTTGTTGGTTTCCACCCCCCCTCTTCCTTTTATAACATGAAAAGTTAGGTGGGTTAATGATAAACCACACACTGCAAACCATGCACTGGACAGGACAGGAAGAAAATGTGACTCCAGGTTTTGAGCCCATTTTTTAAAAGGGCTCGTGCAGTGTTGACCTGAACCCCCTGCAAAGGGAGGTCCTCCCAAACTTCCCCTTTAGCTCTGGTGTTTTCCCAGCCTCAAACACCGTGGAAATCTTTCAGGAACCCAAATGTGCTCTTCAAAGCTGCTGGGAGCAGTTGGAAGCACCAGGGCTTCCAAAGGTCTCACAGCACTAAAACCAGGTTCCAAGTGGCCGTGTTTGTAAAAACAGACTCCAGTTCAACAGTGTTAACTGCATACCAGTAGCTGCCATTACAACAGAAAAAAAACAAAACCCAAATATTCTGTTCAGTAGAGTGACCCCGACCATGCTCACATTACAAGAAAAAATGTACACGTTATTTATAAATAAAGAGTCTTTCACCAGGAGGTTGCTCTGCTGGGCTCCTCTTCACACCAGTGTTTCTTTCCGCTTCCCGCTCAGCTGCTTCTCCCGCGTTTTCCGGTGCCCAGATGATGTTCTGTGACTTTTCACACCCTTGGATTCCTCCGAGTCCAAGATGGAGCCACATTCGGAGATGTTTTCATCCAGCTCCATCTCAGTGACACCAGAGGTGGCAGACTGCCTCTTCGTGGTGGTGGTGGTGTTGGGCACAGAGGGGTTGTTCTCCTCCGACTCCTCACTCAGCTCCGGCAGCTCCTTCAGCTCGACGGCGGCGGCGCCGCGCTGGAAGGGAGCGATGGCTGTTCGGATGCAGTTGACCCACTGCTGCTTGTGGAAGACATCGTTGGCCTGCAGGGTGTGGGATTGGCCTGGAGAAGGGTCTTGGAAACGAACTCGGAAGATGTTTTTAGCTGGAGATCAATGTTGGAAAAAGCAGATCAGTTCCTAGCTCAGATTGTGTCGTCAGACAAACGACCGGGACTGCCCTGCTTAGCTTCGGGTGGGTTGATAACACCACCAAAAATAATCCAACCAACCCCCAAGCGCCACAATCCAACACAGACACATTGAAATAGATGTTTTTCCAAGGGAGAGATGGATTAAAATTGGAAGAGGGGAGGCTTAGATTAGACATTAGGGAGAAATTCTGGGCTGTGAGGGTGGTGAGACCCTGGCCCAGGTTGGCCAGGGAAGCTGTGGCTGCCCCATCCCTGGCAGTGTTGAAGGGCAGGTTGGATGGGGCTTGGAGCAGCCTGGGCTGGTGGGAGGTGTCCCTGCCCGTGCAGGGGGTTGGACCTAGATGATCTTTAAGGTTCCTTCCAACCCAAAATATCATGGAATCATGGAATGCTAAGTTCATGGCCACCAAAGCCCAGCAGTGACAGTCTAAAGGTGAACATATCACATGTCCGCTACCCTAAAAGAACCTAAATCCATAGGGATTTCTCCCCACCAAAGGATTCCCACACAGAGGAGCTGGTTTGGTCCGTACCTTTGTCAGAATTGCCAAAAGCTCCTCGAAAGGAACCTCCCATTTTCACATCACCATCCTGAAGGTCCTCCAGAAGCAGCTCCTGCACAGGGATGGGTTGCCTGTACACTTGGTAGGCCTGACGTTCGTTGCGAGTGACGGGCCGGGTCAAAACCAGGATGTCTTGGAAGAGGAAGACGTAGAGTTTCTGAAAGGGAAAACACATTTGAATCCTGCGGAAAATGCTGTTCCCTGTACTGAAAGCAGCTCCACAGATCCTGGGATTCAAGGCCACCTTATCTGGAGTTTCACCCACATGAACTTTCTGACATTATGTTACAGCCCCCTCAGGGCCCTGGCAGTGGTGGCACAGACTTCCATGAACAGGTTCAATTAGTTTAATGACCCTTCAAAAGTGAGTCATGATTTGCAGATGGCAAGAAGGGGGATCATTAGAAGGAACCTGTTTTCTGGCCACACAAAATGCTTCACGTGTAATGGCCAAATTAAACAACAAAAAAAACCACCAACCACCCAACCAACAGCAACAAAACTAAGGAAGAGAAAGATTTTATCTTTAAAATACTCCTGCAAAGTCAGAACAAAAGGCAGCAAAGCCTTGAGTCCAGCAGGGTCTTTCAGAGGGAGATAAAACTTGGGGCAGTTCATCTCCAAGCCAAGCAGACTTTTTTTGCAGGAAGGCTTTTGTTTGGAAGAGCTGGGAGCCAGGGCTCACAATGGGGAATGTCAGAGCACCTGAAAATAAACAGCCAGCAGGAAATCCCTCTTGATGGAGTGCTGGGGCACTCAGCACACTTGCTGTGGTAATTGTGCACTAATTATTTTCCAGCTTCTGAAGGCCAATTGTGAAGCTGTCAACAAAACTTTCCCTTCCTCTCTGCAAGGAGGAGGCTGCCATCAGGTGCTTTCTCTCCTGCCTTTTGAATTCAGCCAATTGTCTGAACTAAACCCCAACGATGGAAGGGCTCCTGGTCCTGCTAGAAGGGACAAACAGTTTCATCTACCTCTGAGGGAAGGTTTTTAACTTGAGAATTAATTACCATGAACACAAGGGACTTACATGTCCATTTTTATTCACTGAGGGAAGGTTGAGAATTAATTATCACAAACACAAGGGACTTACATGTCCATTTTTATTCTTCAGCTCCCCATGGCACAGTAAAGCTTTGCTGCCTTCAATCCTGGGGTCCTTCTGCTTCTCATCCAGGTATTCCAGCTTGTCAATGTAATACTGGCACTCTGACTCCCCCTTCTTCAGGTTGATGTCAGAGAGGACTCCTTGGATTATAGATATCTACAAAGCAAGCATTTACAAATCATTACATAGTGACCTCTGCTTGTGTATCTTCTTAAGTGCTGAAAGGCTGGGAGAGCTGGGGCTGTTCAGCTTAGAGAAAAGGAGGCTGAGAGGGGATCTCATAAAACATCTCCAGGGGGTGTCAGGAGGATGGGGTCAGACTCTTCTCAAGGGTGTCCAGTGACAGGACAAGGGGCACAAACTGGTACACAGGAGATTTAACCTGAATATAAGAAAATGCTTCTTTACTCTGAGGGTGACAGACCTGGGAGAGGCTGCCCAGGGAGGTTGTGGAGCCTAGAGACATTCTAAACCCACCTGGACATGTTTCTGTGGGATCTGCTCTCGGGGATCCTGCTCTAGCAGGGGTGTTGGACTAGGTGATCTCCAGAGGTCCCTTCCAGTACTCTGACCATTCTGTGATTCTGTGAACTCCACAGGATGGAATCCACGTGGACTGAGTAGTTTCACAGGTGTTTACAGTGTCCACCAAGAAAACCACCCCATGACATTGCTGAGGGTTTGAGAGAAAGCTTTCTGGAACTCCAGAATGACATGCTTGTGTCAGAAGAATAATCATGAAGCCACTATTACTTACGGCTTCTTCCAGAATCTGGATATCAGGGTGGTCTTTGGGAGTGTGTCTGAGGATCTCTTTCAGGAGCAGTGGATATTTGACCAGCCGACTTCGAGGAATGTCCAAGAAGCTCCAGAGGTCCAACTTGCGGCTGAAAGGAGACTCCAGGCAGCGCTGAAGGAAGTCCTGCACCCTCCTGTCCTGCTTCTTCTGATCCAGAAGTGCTTTGGCTGCCAGCTGATTGCTACAGTAACCTTTGTAGGCATGGAGCCGTGGTAACTGCAGGGGAACAGAACAACATTCAGGTGGTGAAGTCCATGTAGGAAAAGCAAATCACATTAACGTGTCAAACTGCCCTCCCTGGGATATTTTGCCCAATAAAAAATGCTGTCAGGCTCTCCTAGCTGGTCTTTTGTGAGAAAAACAAGGGCATCCTGCAGGCAATGCCTTTGAAGTTCAGATGTTTGAGATTACCAGTGATAACACTATTGAAATCACACCCGTGTCAAACAGTCCAGAAGATATAGACATTTCAAACATAAATCAAGCAAGTAATTGCAGTCACACTAGCCTAAGTCTCTGGGGTGAAATTGTGGCCCATTATGGCTGACAAGAGTCCCATTGTTTCCAGTGTAGCCAGGATTTCCTCCCCTCAAGGCCACAAAAGCCCACAGCTTTTTGGCTTCTAGCTTTATATACTCTTTAAGTTCCTGATTAGCCTGCTGCCTGCAAGTTATGTACTCACCCACTTCACCAGAATGGGCCCAATCTGCTCCACTGTTCCATCTGGTTTTGTTGCTTCTCCCAAACTTGCCAATAAGTCTGGAAATGAAACAAAAATAGAAGTGGTAACAATGCTCCAGTAAGCTGTTCTCATGTGAGAAAGCAGAGAGTTTAACTCCTAGTCAGCACATGATGTGAAAATGATCCAGTTGTTCTTACCTTCATGGAGAGGAATATAAGAATCCAAGTCCCCAAATATGTGGGTGAGCTCCTCCTCAGACATGATGGAGAGTTTCAGCATGGGGTCATGATAGGCCTGTCAAAGAAGGTCAGTATTAAAATATATGAAAACCTCCCAAGCCCCAAAGCTGACAGTTTAAATACAAAAGGATGTATCATGTGCAGGACAGGTATGAGCAAAGAGAAACAGTAACATCAGCTTTGACCACTGAAAGATTAATCTCTGTGTGAGGGTATCAAATGAAAAGGACTTTCCTGCCTGAGCTGTTCTCACCTGGGAGAGGGATTCCCCAGCTACCTTTGTAGACACTAGGATGAAATTCTTCACTATGAGGGCTGCAGGACTATGAAGCACAGGCCTGTTTTTTGGCTGGGTTTGCTGTAATTAAACCAGTACTGTAGGGCTGCTCATGTCTACTCCCCAGGGCAGCTTTCAAGCTGTGGATTCTGAGCCTGACCTAACTGCTACATAATGTTTGTAGGTGCTAAGAAGTGTCATTGTAGTGAGAGGACAAGGGGGAATGGACTAAAACTGGACTACTCAGACACTAGGATGAAATTCTTCACTATGAGGGTGGGGAGAGCCTGGCCCAGGTTGCCCAGAGAAGCTGTGGCTGCCCCATCCCTGGCAGTGTTGAAGGGCAGGTTGGATGGGGCTTGGAGCAGCCTGGGATGGTGGGAGGTGTCCCTGTCCATGCAGGGGATTGGACCTAGATGATCTTTAAGGTCCCTTCCAACCCAAACCAGTCTGGGACTATTATCTGTAATATGTTTACTGGCTGCAGGAAAACAACACTCACCTTTCTGGCAAGCTTCAGGTCTTCAATGAGGTCCTGCTCTCCTCTGGACATTTCATATATTGCCTGTGAGGAAGGGGATAAAGCATTGAGAGTAATTTTTAATCCCAGTCCTCCTCTGAAAGAGCCTTTCAGCTCACATAATGTACATCCTGTCTCCCCAGCCTGAATAGGCAGTTTTGCCACCTGGGCACAACAAGCTCAAGTAAATCTGCCTACTTTCCCAGCTCTGAGAAAGCAACATTACTTACAACTTTGTGAAAGCTGTGATGCTCAGCCACGAGCCAAATTAAATATTAGCACCTTTTAAATCACAGCTTTTACACAGGCAAGTTTGGAAAAAAACAACACAAACCCCAGAAAACCACAGAGGTCAAATCCCAGGCATCTTTAGTCAGCTTCTGTGTTGTCATTACAAGATTTGTCCAAGAACTACAGGAAAAAGGCAAGCCAAGGCCTTGCCATTTGGCTTCCAACCAATTGTCAAGAGCTTTAAGAGAAAGACAGCTGGCTTTAGAAGGAACCTGACTTTGGGTCTGCTGCAAAGCAACCAGCACGGCTGGGTCTCCAATTTCAGCAATGCTGAGCACCCCCATGGAAAGAGTTTGGCATCTCTGAAGGGTCAGACTGGGGAGACAAACTCCCTAGTGACTCAAGAGAGAGCAGCGTACCTTTTCCCATGCCTAATGGAGAAATAAATCTTAGAAATGAAGGTGCACAGGAAGACACAGACACCCATAGATGCTCCTTAGTCCTTTACTTGCCAAGAAAACAGCCCAAGCCAAGGGGCCACTTGGCTGCATTTCCCAGTCCTTGTGTTTCAGAGCCAGCCTACCTCCTGGCGCTTGATTTCTTTGGTGCTCAGGGACTCTTTCATGTTGACATCTAACATCTCAGACCAAAGCACACTGTTTCTTCTCTTAGGAGGAGTAGGAGCAGCAGATCTGCTACATGACTTCTGGGCACAGCCAGGAGACTTGCTGTCACCACGAAGGGCAAATGACTGTACGGATTTAGAAGGGAGAAAAACAATATTTAGAAAGTCTGCAGAGCCACCGTTCCAGAAGCACAACATTATCCACAGCCCTCCCAATCCTTCACCCTCCTCTGTAGTGCATGGCAGGAAAACACACCCAGACACTTTTCCTCTGAAAAAGGAACACTTTAATCAAGCTGTTGAGAAAGCCCAGAGCAGAGAGGCTGGCAAGCTTTTCCATGTGCCTCTCCCTGCACTGATCCAGCAGCAGCACTTGTGGGGAGGATGGGCAGGTAAAGCTTAGTTCTGTTTCCAAAGCATGAGGAAGTAAACAAACCAGGATGATAATCTACCTATAATGGGGCTAATCAGGAGCTATTTGAACTCTGCTCTCATGATAATGCAGTGTTAACCAAAAGCCAGTCACAGGAGGTCCCTTCCCTGCACGTGTGGGGTGCAGTGCTCCCCAGACAACACTCCTCAGACTTTATTGAGCCATCCCTGAACAGCAAGGTCAGTTCACATCTCAGCACATGCTCCAATACACGTGTATCAAGTCTGGGAACAGTTTATCAACTCATTCTCCCTATCTAAGTCAGTTTATTTCTTTTACTGCTCACACCCTCATCGTAGCCTATTTATCTAGCAAACTACCTCTGAACTCCTGAACTTTTCTTCAACCCCAAGTCCCAAGGAAACTTTCTATCCTTGCATGAATCACACGGGAGGATTCTCAAGGGATGCCTTGAAACCCCAGGGCCTGTTTTACCCCCTCCCACCCAGTACCTTTTCTGTGTCTCTGCTTTTCTAGGACTAGAAGGCTCTGCTTTTTACCTGGATGGTCTGCCCAAAGCGCCGAACTGCACCATTTCTTACAGGAGAGATCAAGTTTGCCAGGGATGTGACCCGTGCTAGAGGCCGGACCCGTTTATTGCTTGGCTCCTGTAAATAAAGCAGAGAACAGATTGTACTGACTTGCAACTCCCACTTCATTTCTCAAGCTGCCCAGGCAGGTTTAAAAAGCATGAACCCACTTAAGGAGTGGGAAACACAGCAAAGAAAGTGTTTTGAAGTAGCCATTCATCTTAACAGGAGAGCAGAGGCTGTAAATATTTGTCTGAACTTTAAGGCTGCAATTAAACTGTGGAGACCTCACCCGGGGTAAAAGAGGCAAGATAACATACACACCAGTCAGAATTCAAAATAGGGCTCAAACAGGGACTGTTATGGTTTGAACACAAATAGACTGAGGCATTCTCCTCTGCAAGGCAAGTGACTGACATCCAGAGATGGAGCTGAGATCTGCTTCTCCATTTCATCATGATTTCCTTTGTAGGAAGAATGTGTTTTTCCATTTTAATTTTAATTTGGAGAGAAATGTAGCAGTGGGAGCCCAGGACAGCCTCAGCAGCTATTCTAACAACCAGCAAAGGACCACATGCTGAACATTCCTGCGAGGGACACGCACACATGAGATGTGCTAAAGTTTCAAACCTTCAGTTTACAAACCTCCCTCCCCTTTCTGCTCCCTCCCACCCCCTGCAAGTCGTTGTAATTTTTCTTATACGTTGTTTAGATTTGAAAGATAGGAGCTTCTGCTTTTCAACACCACTAATCCCTGCCAGGAGCCCAGAGCATTTTCAATTCTGTCCTGACCAAACTGCTGCCTAGGAAGAGGAAACGCCCCACGGAAACCTCCTGCTGCTTGAGCTCGGATCAGTTTTGAGAATCCTGCTGGCAACCCCACAACCTTTGCAACAAAAAAAAATACCGTGTTGTAAGGACTAGACAGGCCAGGTGTGCACAATGGGATGTTGGGAAGGGATGGACTCAGAGCTCCAGGCTAGGAGAAAGGCTAGAGGAGGTGCCCTGGTGCTCAAACATCTGGCAGACATGGTTAGACATGACTCATCATCATGAGGAAGCTTCTGAGCATGAAGTTCAGATGAGCTGACGGAAGCAGCCTCTTCTATGAGTTCATCTCAGCAGAAATGTTACCAACGCTTTACTAGGCATTTTTGGTTTAATTACCTTAAGCCTTTCCTCTTACTTTTCAAAAGGCTGAGAGGTGAAGACAAAGAAGACTGCTGAGGACAAGTTCTCCTGCTAAGGCCAAGTTCTCTGCTGTCTCTATTTCCAGTCTAAGATGACAAACGAAGGTGCCCAAACCCTTTGCTTCTGTGCAGCACCAGAAGTGACAAATGCCAAAAACCAAAAAGGGGAATAGGAACACGGGGAGCTGGATTCCAGTCCTAAGACTGAGGAAGAATAAAAAGCTACGTAAGTAAGATCTGATTTCAGCAACATGACCCGAGGAGTGGCCCGTCTGTCTGCCTACATGCAGTGTTAAGCAACAGAGGAGGTTAGCTCACACTGAATTAGCCTTCAAAGTTTCAGGGGAGGGGTGGGGGGAGAGAAACATGAAAAGAAACAATTTATGAGTGATGCAGAACAGAAAGGCACTCTTGGCACAGCAGGAAGGTTGTTGAAAGCTGTGCTTGAAACGTTTGGGTAATCTCAGAAGGATGAGGGTACTACAGAAATGGGGAAAAACTCTAAGAGGATGCCCTCAACCCTGGGGCCCTGACCCTCAGCTGGGTGTAGGGACAGCACAGGGAACACTGTGGTCACTTCTTTCCTTTGCTAACCCTGAGACACAGTATGTCAGGAAAGGGATCATGCAGAAGTCTTGGAAAGTCAGGTCAGGCTCAAAAAATAAAGGCAAGGAAACTTTAATTAATTACAGGTGTTCCAGAGTGGAGCAAAAAGGATAGGTAATTTACTTGTAGAAAACCGTGTACTTGAATAAAGGGACACAAGCCAAGAGGTGCTGAAGAAACTACAAGAATGTAAGGAGAAAATACACAGACATGAGCCACACACAGCTCTGCCAAGGCCAGTGATATAAATAGCACGGGGAAGAAAAATGTGACACTGAAAATTAATAGCAAGAAACCTCAGTACTTGAGGACGCTTGTAGAGCCCTTCACAGCTCAGTGTGAAAGGGTCAACTGGGCGACATTTCCAGCCACGAGATACAAGGACACACTATCTGTGCTGAGGGACATGTGTGAAATGCCTTCCCAGCACATCTGTGCCAGGCTGCAGTGACACATGCGTGTGCACCAGGCCTGGCAGAAGGAATTCCTGCCTCTCCCTTTGGGACAGGCAGTACAAAGGGGCTCCCTGTTGGGGTGGGATTATAAATGAGCATTTTACACAACAGTCAATATCTACAGGGACGTGCACAGGCGGGCGTGGAGCACAGAGCAACTGGAACAAGAGGGAGCACAGCTCCTGAGGAGCCCTCCTCCGTTTCTGGAGGGAGGAACTTCACGCAGCACGACCAGAGTGTTCTCTGCACATGCAACGTGCTCCCCCGGGGTCTGTGGCCAACAGAAAACCTCCTGCACGCCGTAAAGTCAGCGTAGCCCCACGAAGAGAAACCAATCCCACTCGCCGTCCTGCGAGCGCTCCCAGACGTGAACGGCTCGACTGCCAAAAACCTGCATCTGCTTCTTCTTCTTCACCTTCCAACTGTATCACTTGATCCAAGGCAGGGTGGGGGGAAAAAAAAATAAAATATCCCTCTCCTGAGAAACCTCACCTCTCTCAGATCTGCATTTCAGCTCGGGGTCACGTACTCCCCTTACAGGCAAACCCATCCAGGGTGTAAGCTGAGACCCAGCACAGGTCATACAAGGGATAACTCTGGCTCAGTGTGGCTTTGTGTTTTTTCAGCCCTGTACTTGCACACAATGATCAGTCTGTCTCCACGCTGCCTCACTCACAGAAGCCCAGATGAGAATGAAGTCTGTGAAGTTTCAGCAACAAGTGAGTAGTGTTCAGCACTGCAGCACCGACAGATCATTAAAACCTCAGTGAGTTCAACAGCACTCCTGCTTCCACTCTGTTGTTTTTCCCCTTTATTAAAACCCAATGAATATATATCACAAACACACACACACAAGCTAAGTTTGTGCCTCATCTGACAGACAAACCTTTTTGCACTAGTGGAACTGTGTCAAGTGCTGCCAAGTGCAGGTTAACTCCTCACATTTTGAACGAATTTCTGCTCGAAATAAAACCTGGTTTGACTTTTTAAGCAACAAACATTTTCCTCTAGCAACAGGCACACCTACCACCTTCCCCCCCCCCACACCACTAGGTAATAATTAGTGGTATTTACAAGGATCATTTACTAGAGAGCAATGTCCTACGTGCCCATCCCAGACAAACACGGTGACAAACCTAAGAACCACGCGCAGCCAAACTTTTCCCATGAAGCCAAAAAAGGGCTTTTTTTAGTCACCAGCTGGAATAATTCCTGCCACAAATCATCACCACCTGACTGCCTCGCTTCAAGATTCATGTGCCAGGATCTTGCCAAGTCCCCAGGTCTCCTCTGAAGATGTCTCTCTGCACTCAGAAGGAACAACCAGGCTGCAGCTTGACACCTCAGGGTGGACATCACCAGCCTTGCTGCTCTCAAACCCAACAGCCTGTCCCACAACCCAAAGTCTGGCCCTCATGCTCTCCTGACAACTTCAGTTGGCTCTTGAGAGCAGCTCAGGACCCAGCACTGACAGGAGTGTTGGCTCAGGAGTCGCTGCCCAGCAAACCCAACATCATTTCACTCCACATTACCCTGCTTGTGGGTTATCACCCTGCAACAGGAGATAATTTTCACCACCAGAGGCGATTTTGTCTCCTTTAAGAGACCTGGTTTGTGTCACTCCTCTCCCAGCATCTGGTTTCCCTTTTGCACAACGAGATTGCCCAAGTTTGGCTGTTTCAGAGCCAGGATTTTTTAAAGAAGCTGGCGACTCGGAGCAGAGCCCTCAAGTCCCAGAGCTGTCTGAAAACGTGGTTTTGCTTTGTTGTTTTTTTTCCCTCTATTTTCCACCTCATCTCCCCACTAATCTGGGCAATAAAACCCTACCTGGCTGCTGAACTTTTTGCCTCCTGGGGCAGCAGGAGGCACGAGAGCACCTACCAGGGATGCAATTGTTCTCCTCTACATCACGACAGGCGATAAGAAGAACAATATTTTTTTAAAAAATCATAAAAATAACAATACTTCAAAAAAACAAAACGACCCACCCTCAAACCCTCCCCCCAAAAAACCAACTCACACCTTTTTTTTTAACGCATTTTGGGTTTACACAGCACAAAACGAGGAAAAATCCTGTCAGTGGGGGAAAAAAAAAAGGGCGCAGGGAGCAAAAAGCTTAATTTTTGTTGTTTTTAAAGGAAAACCAGGTGAGGCGTCCCCGGGGGTCTTTTAGAGGGGGTTAAAGTGACAAGAAATGAATGAAATGTGTGTTTTTTTCTGCTCACCTCCTGCTCCCGGAAGGATTGGTTCTGCGCGTCGATCACCCGGATAGTCCGTTTGATGGGGAGCAGCCCCCCGAGCTCGTCGTGAGCCACCATGACTAAGGAAACCCCCCCCCACACAAAACCCCCTCAAACCGCCACAACCGGCGGCCGCTTCACCCCGCGCTCATCCCCGCTCTGCTCCCTCCGCCGCGCACCCGCCGGACCTCACCGCGGGGGGCGGGGCCAACGCGAAAACCACGCCCCTTTTCACATCAAAGCCACGCCCACATAGACAGCTGGCCCCGCCCCCCATTAGATCCCTTTATTGCCTCCTAAATTCACCCCCCCAAAATAATGATAATAATTATAACTCGCCCGAATTGTGTTGGTTATAAGACACTCAAGGAATGCAGAGGAGGCCCCGGAGATGCTGGGAGGGCTGGAGCAGCTCTGCTCTGGAGACAGGCTGGGAGAGTTGGGGTGTTGAGCCTGGAGAAGAGAAGGCTCCAGGAAGACCTGAGAGCAGCTTCCAGTGCCTGAAGGGGCTCCAGGAAAGCTGGGGAGGGGCTTGGGACAAGGGCAGGGAGGGATGGGAGCAGGGGAATGGATGAAAACTGGAAGAGGGGAGATTTAGGTTGGACATCAGGAAGAAATTCTTCCCTGCGAAGGTGGGGAGAGCCTGGCCCAGGTTGCCCAGGGAAGCTGTGGCTGCCCCATCCCTGGCAGTGTTGAAGGGCAGGTTGGATGGGGCTTGGAGCAGCCTGGAATGGTGGGAGGTGTCCCTGCCCATGCAGGGGGGTTGGAACTGGATGATCTTTAAGGTCCCTTCCAACCCAAACCGTTCCATGAGAAACGGGACCTTTGAGAGGCCCGACGCGAAGGCAGCGCGATGCAGGCAGCCTCTGGGGGTGGAGGGCACTGCTCCCTCACACCTCACAAGGAAAAAACGGTTTGGGGATTTCACAATCTGTACTGAAAAAGAGGCAAACCCAAACGTACGTTTTGTTTTTTCGGGGATAGTCCCTCTTTGTTGTTGCTGTTTGCTGGCAGTGGCAGCACAGAGCAAGCGGCGGACGCGCTTCTGACAGCAGCTCTCCTTGCTGCCACTGAAGCATTAATCATTTACTGCTGTGAGGTGTTGTGTGTTGTTTTTTTTTCTTTTTACCAACCTCAGCTCTCCTTGCTGAAAAAAGAAATGAATTCTTGTCTAGACCTGTGCTTTTAAGTCTGCTCTCAGCTTTCAAGGTTGTGCTGGCGCGGCTCCGTTCGCCAGGGGCTGGGCTGAGCCTCTCCCCCTCTTCTAACAGGGAAGCCTGTCCCAGCAGGCCTGGCTGGAGATGCAAAGGATTTATAGTGTTTTTTTTGTTTGTTTGTTCAAGTCATATTATTCCTGGCACTGCTACAAATCTCCAAAATAAAAAAAAAAAAAGGTCTTTTGTGCTGGTCAAAATACACGGAGTTTATTTGGTGAGAGGAGGGAGCTGCGGGGCTGTGCTAAGGAGCCTTGGAGGAGATAAATTTGAGGATCCCAACCCCAAGCTGGTCCCAGGCTGTGGTGCCCAGGGTGGGCAGAGGGTTTGAAACACTGTTTTTCAGAGGAAAGTCCTGCTGTGTCCTCCCCTGGCTTGTTTTCAGTTTGCTTTTTAGCTTTCTTGGCTTCTGTCCCGTGGCGAGTTGCTCCCAGCAGATCTGTGCCTGTTTAACCTCTGCCCTGAAAGACCAGGACGTTTGGGATTGTCCACACAGGATTCTCAGAAACTTGGGCTACAGTGAATTTCTGAAAGGACAGACTGTGACTGTTTCAGACATGGGTAATCCTTTTTCTGGGATTAGTGAAGTCAACCATTTTTAAGGCAACAAAAGACCAAAGGGATGATGACTCCAGGGAGGAGCAGGAAAACCCTCCCTTGAGTGTGATCATTTTCTGGGGGAGTATCAAACATTCCCATTGCTCCTACAGTCTAAGGTCAAAAGTTTGTTAAACTGGGTCTAAAGATTTAGGAATTCTTCTCAAACCTGAGAGGACATCTCTTTTCAGTGAGGTGTAGACAGGCTGTGCAGGGTCAACTAAAAACTGGGGATGGACAACCAGGAGCTGAGAGGGAAAGCATGAAGCAGAGTCAAGGAGACAAAACTGGCATTTTTATACTTCTTGTTAGGACCAGAACCTGATGTCCTGCTCATGGAAGCAGTTCATGCCATGTGGAGTGTTTCCTGTGTCTGAAGTGTTGAATAGCCCTTCTCTTTCCTGAGCCCTGGGGGAAAGGACCTGCTGCAGGTGATTCACCAGGAGATCCCTGCCTGACAACCTTGTGAGGTTAATTCATGGTGATGCAAGTCCCAGCTGAGGCAGCCTGGTGATGTCATGTTTTGGAAGCCTAAAGCTCTGGCATGATGCAACAAGTGCTCCCTGTCTGACTCCTGGCAGAGGGTTACATGCTGTGGACAACTGCCCTTTGGTCAAAGCCAGGGCTGGGTAAGGCCTTAGGAGCAAAAAACCCAAGGATAAGCAGCTCACAACTGCCCCATGTAGTGGATGTGGTGGCAAGAGCTGGAGCACAGGAAGGTCCACCTCAACATGAGGAGGAACTTCTGTACTGTGAAGGTGATGGAGCACTGAAACAGGCTGCCCAGAGAACTTGTGGACTCTCCTTCTCTGGAGACTTTCAAGACCTGCCTGGATGTGTTCTTGTTTGATGTGCTCTGGGTGATCCTGCTCTAGCAGGGGGTTGGACCAGATGATCTCCAGAGGTTCCTTCCAACCCCGACCATTCTATGATTCCATGATTTCCACGTGCCTGCTATTTTTGTATAAACCATCAAGCACCATTTTGAGGCAAAGTCCACCCTAAACAGCGAAGCACACCTGCTGTGCAATGGATACTCACCAACCAACATGCAAGGCAGGGAAGGCAATAAACCTGGAGAAGAGAAGCCTGAAGGCAGTTAGGCTGGAAGGTGATCTTGCAGAGGTAAAATGACCATTCTCCCAGGTACACAATGTCACCTCTGCAGTGATATGTCCAGCATAGCCCTGGAACAGCTCAGTGTGCAATGGTACCTTCCTCTGCTCTACTTATAGCACATGAAAGAGGCAGGTTGAAGATGACCTTTAAGTTAGTCAAGTTCATTGTAGTGCAAATGCTACCCCGGGGAGCAAACCATCCCCAACAAGGCTGTGGTACTTGGGGACCTTCTGATGAAAGCCAAAACAAGCAGAAAAAGAAAGAAGAAAGGAGAACCTGCCCTTCAACACTTTCAGGGATGGGGCAGCCACAGCTTCCCTGGGCAACCTGGGCCAGGGTCTCACCACCTTCATAAAAAAACCAACTACTTCCTAATGTCTCACCTAAATCTCCCCTCTTCCAGTCTAAAGCCATTCTCCCTCATCCCATCCCTCCCTGCCCTGTCCCAAGCCCTTCCCCAGCTTTCCTGGAGCCCCTTCAGGCACTGGAAGCTGCTCTAAGGTCTCCCTGGAGCCTTCTCTTCTCCAGGCTCAACACCCCAACTCTCCCAGCCTGGCTTCAGAGCTGCTCCAGCCCTCCCAGCATCTCCAGGGCCTCCTCTGGCCTCTCCCCAACAGCTCCACGCCCTCATTGTGTTGGGGACCCCAGAACTGGACTTATGGATTTGTACCCTATACATCCTGCAGCAATCCCAGCTTCCCTTTGCCCCATCCCTAGAGGTTTTTAAGGCCATGCTGGATGATGTTTTGTGCAACCTGATCTAGTGGAAGGGTTCCCTGCTCATGGCAGGGAGGTTGGAACTTGATGATCTTTAAGGTCCCTTCCAACCTTAATGATTCTATGATTCCCTGCAATCCAGGACATATTCTTCTACCCAAAACCATCTCCCTCTGTGTCCCCATACCCCTCTGCCCTGGCTCCAACCTCCTCCTTGCCTTCTCCTGCCCCTGCAGCCCACCAGGCAGGGACCAGCCCGTGCTGTGGCAGCTCTGAAGGCAGGAGAATGCAGCCTGGCCAGTCACTGTGCTGAGCAGGGATCACAGACCAGTTCTTCCTGCTCTCCTGCCAGTGGGTATTAATAGCAATCCTCCCCTACACTCAAATGGGGATTTTCACTTCTAGGAGCAAAATACCTTGCTGACTCCTACTATCAAATTAGGGAGCTGGGAAGAGTTCAAGTGACAGAGGAGTCAACCAGCTCTCATTGTTTTACTGTTATTTTTAGCTTGGGTTTTCATTTGCAGGGAGAAGGGAGGACTGCTCTTACACAGAGCTGTTTGCCTCAAGTGCTGGGCAGCCTCATACCTGCAACATTCCTTGCTCCTGCAAGTTATTCTGGGTAGGGCTGCTTCTAAATAAAAATGCTCTCCGGGGTATTGACATGCCATTTTGTTATTTCAGCCCCAAAGCATCATCAAATAAATTTTAGATTAACAAACGATGAACTCCTATGAAAACATGCATCCAAATTCCAGTGTGCAATTCCAGCCTGATGTAAGTTTTCACAGTTAAAAATACTCAGTTGTTTAAGCGACACGTGGCATCTGGCTAGTGCCAGGGGTT